TTAGAACGCAGAAAGGTTTACAGACCGATGCAGAGCTGGCTAAACACTGAAGCTCCAGTGTCCACCACATGGCAACCTGCATGAGCATTGACTCTAGAGAGGATGGGGCGGGGGGAGACAGCTCTCTACAATGTTTTGAATTTGGACTACCCATTTTAAATGTTCCTTTAAAGGTTTGAAGATTAATTTGCATCAATAAAAACAGGAATCTGTTGTGTACATTTTGCATTGAGTCATCGTCTGTAAACAGATACTAGCTTGGAATTTTCTCATTAAATAATCTCTGATGGCCTTAAACTTCTTTGTAAAAACATTTCTCAAACCCTCATGTTGACTAAATCTCACAAGTTAACAAACGCTTATTTGTAAAAGAGCTGCTGCAAAACTCCTGCAGCTTTATTTATTTTTTAAAATATCTGTAAATACTGATGAACCTTTGAACACCTGAATCTTTTTATCAATTAGAATTGATTATTGATTTTTGTTCTTATTGTTAATTACAAAACAGACACACAGACTTGCAGACATTCTCAGCTTCAGTAGTTTTTCAGAGTTTTTGGAGAACTTGCCAAAGGCAAAGTAAAGTAGGGATTTGGAATATTTTCATGTCAACTTGATTGATAAGCTCAGGAGGAGGGGCCCAGTTTGAATGTAGCTGCATTGCGTCCATGCGTACTCCCAGGTTTGAATCCGACCTGGGGCTTCCTCTCTCATGCCATTCCTCACTCTCTCTCTCTCTCTGATTTCTGACTCCATCCATTGACTTGTCTCTGTAATAAAGGCGAAAAAGCCAAAAATACACTTCTGAAAAACACGCTCAAACACGTTGGCAATGGGCCTAGAATAAAGTTGAGTTTGAGAACAAACAGCTCGAGGAGAGATTTAAAAAATGTTGGTGATGCTTCAAAGATGAAATGTAAAGTGTGTTTAAAGTGAAGAGAGCAAATATCAAACAATTAAATATGAATCAGGACTCAGTGACAGTCAGCCTGCAGAGCTGAGGAGTTTTTTTTCTGCCTAAAAAGAGGACAAAATGTGTCTGAGGACCGCAGAACGGCACATTCTGTACATTTAAATATCATCTGCAGCGTCTGTTACTGTACAGCCCTGCTGCATGCCAAAACACATCTGCATATCATATGTTCTGCTGTAGATGCATTTTTTTTGTCTTCATTTCCCTCTGAGACACTGCCGACGCTTCTCATAATGGTTCCATTATTTCACTCTGCACCCACTGTCGTATTTCGGCCACACATGGATGACAACGGCGGTCATAGAGATCGAAACTTGTGTCCAGAATGAATCATCCCATTGTTGTTTGATGGATTACCATAAAAGCAGATATTTATGGAGCTCAGAGCAGGGGTGTGTCAGGAGGGGTGGCATGGGCCCCCCTTGAAATCTTGTTGGCCACCCCATGTGCCAAAAATCCTTGTTGGCTATTTGCCTTGCCAGAGGCGGGACTTAAGTTGAAATCCACCATTCGGGCTCTGTGTTTTCAGTGTGCAGATGATTTTTTGTAAATTTAAATATTCTTTAAATCCTTGAAGAATGTATAAAGTATGTCACCATTATCATGTGTCACTTAATGTGATTAGTGCAGACAGAAGGGGTAAATAAACCCTTCATTCATGTGTGCACACAAAGTTCAAGCCACCCCTGCACAGGTCAGTGCACCAGTTGGGCCAATCCGGTCCAAAAAGTCTGGACATGCCCCTGCCTCAGAGGATGACTTAAGATCTTGTAACAGTTCATCTTGCGGTCTACACTTTCGTGAATACTTCATGATGAGAACATTTACATAAAGGCTCAGTCTTTCCATCATTTTTTCCTGCCAAAAACATGAGTCACCAATGCAAGATTTCACCTTAACTGACTCCTTCTAATGCAAAACAGCGGTCCCTCTTTTTTCTGGATCTGGGTCCCAAAACCAGCTTAGTCATGGTTATCTTCCTTTGGGTTGTGGTAACTTCCTTTTGGGCCAAGAAAAAAAAAAGTCATGCGCAAAAGAAGGCGTCTGGAAGAAGTTGTTCTCCCTTCAGTTTACATTTTTTACATTTTTTTTCTAATCAGTAATCATCTGCAAAGAAACAATTTCAAAAATCTGCGTCATTCTTTGCATGACAAAGACACGTCAGAAGGGGCTTGAAGCTGATCTGCTGCTTATTTTAAGGTGCTCTGCTTGTTTTCAGTTAAAGGTCCAATCAGTGAGATGTGTAGTGAGTGAATGATAAAGTGACCTTACTATATGATCAGACATTAAGGAAACATGCTATGTTGAAGTGCTGGCTTCTCTGACAACAATGCAGCAGCCAGTATGTCCTCCTTCTAACTTTAGATTCTGGTCCTGAATGCTCTGGATTTGTTTGGACCAGAGAAGGTAGGCGGTTTTAACACGTGCACTAGTAGAAACATGCTCAAACTAGGATCAATATTGGAGATGCTTTTGAAAAATGGAGAGAGGTTAGAATGCAGAAAGGTTTACAGACCGATGCAGAGCTGGCTAAACACTGAAGCTTTGGTGCTTGTTTGAAAGCAAAGCTTTCTTTAGTCTATTTTCTCATCACTGATTGGCTCCCTGGTTTAACTGTGGTGACGTCAGCCAATGAAAAACTGAGTGATGATAAGGAATCTCAGCAGTGAGCGGTCACCTCAACCTGTTGCATCATGTCAGGAAAGAGCCACAAACCAGAGCCATATAGACCCAAGGGTTGTGACATTGGTGGGTTTGCTGCAGTCATTCATGTAAAATTGTTAAAGGCAGAGTTGTGTCATTTTCAAAAACTAGCATGATTTTGAAAGTAGCATTCCCTCAGTGCATTGTCTACATCCGACCCCTCCCCTCTGTGCTCCCTCTAAAGCCACGCCCCTCACTTACATGCACGAGCGCCGTTGCTCCAGAAGTGGAGCTCATCTCATCGCTAGCAGTGTGTAGAAACTACGTCGTCTCATGTCTCGTTCAGCGGTAAGTACACTCTAAACTTATCATAATACATGTAAAAAAAATGTGACTATTTTACTGCTAACAACGACCAACAACAAACACACTATAAACTCATCAGGTCAGCATGGCGCCTAATTATGGATAACACGTATCATTCATGAAACCAAAAAGGACGAGTTGTAAAAAAATTCACTCTCTGTACAGTGTGTGCCTATGACGACAATAACTAATTAGACCTATTTCGTTTTTTGTACCAGGCTGTAAACATGTTTATTTATACTGTACAAAGTTGCTTTTTTGAATGGGGTGTGTATGTGACTTCCGGGCTCCTGTAGCCAGCCTCAAGTGGACACTCAAAGAACTTAGTTACTTTGCACTTGCTTCACTTTTCAACCCCAGAAGGTTGCTGCTTGGTTCCTGCAGAAAAATGATCAAAAAGGGGATCTTTGAGCTTATAGTTGATCCCTTAGCAACAGAAAAACACAGAAAAGTCTCAAACTAAAACCAGAATATTAGTCAACCGAGGTTACGTAAAGAGGATGTTGGAAAGATTGACCAAACCCTGATTATACAAGGCTCTGCCTGAGACACGATCTGACCATCTGAGAGGGGAAGAAAAAGAAGAGCTCCCACTCTTTTCATATTTCCAGAAACCCCCTGCCCTCCCAAAACAGATATATAAAGTAAAAGTAAAGGAAAATATTTTATAAAACTAGTAAAAACAACTTTACTTACACATGTTAACAACAACTGCATAGAATATGAAAGTGTTGCTTCACATCCATAAATAAAAACTGATGGTTATTGATTAATGTATTAATTGCCATGTTATGTAACACCTCAGGTCGCCATGTTTAAAGAATGAATCTGCTTGAATGTCTCATAGAGTCACTAAACTGAACTTTCCTGATGACCCAAGACCTTATCTGAGCACACCTAATGTTCATCATCACATCATGTGAATATTCGTTATCGGGTCATAAAGGTTACTTTAAATGTCCAGACAGGATTACAATTTGATCACTCTCATGAGAGGTGTGTCTGTTTCTGCTGAGTCATGTGTGGCTGAACTTCACCCCAAACTTTTCCATCTGTGTAGAAGCTAAACCGTTTAGATGTTCAACATGATTGTATTTTATATCATGCATGGTATACGTTTTTAAACGAGTATTCTCTAAAATTCTGTGAAGACTTTTTCTTATATTTGATACTAATTGGTTCGTATCTGTCTTTTCTAAATAGATAGATGGATATTTTATTGATCCTGAGGGAAATTCTGACTTGAAACATTTCTTACATCTAAACAATACCTGCTGTCCCCCATCCCATTTTAACCCAAACGAAGATTTAGAGAAAGAAAATGTACATAACCTGTGCAGGAATACGAATAAATAACCTATGTACAATTTATCAATCTATCATGGCTTTGAAATCATTTTTAATAGATCGATATTTGACATCAATTATAAAAAATGAAGTGGTAAAATAAATCCATCCATCCATTATTTATCCCACTCATCCTGTTCGGGTCACGGTGGTAAACAAATACAGTCACTTTTAAAATAACAAAATGAAATGGTGAATCATAAAACCACATTTTCATGAATCAACCACATTTTTAAACACACAATACAAGTATTTAGTATATCAGACATCTTTATAATCAACAGATTTGTAGATAAATTGTTCTTTGTTAACAGAGAGGGGTCAAAAACAGTTGAAAAGGAGTAGTTTTCCTCTGTGATGTAATGAAGAAAAATGTAAATATAGTTGAAAAGTAGGCCTTTCATTAGTCAAATCAAACTATTAATAGCATTCACTGATCTTCTTTGTTGTCATAATAATAATTTTAGCTCTTTACAGGCTCTGATTGGTCCCCTCTCCCTGTTACCAAACTGTAACATTCACTATTACGTCATCCTCGCCACGCTCGTTGCTCCAGCACCTCGCGCTCACAGACGATCTTCGCAGGCGCCGGGTGGTGGGCGGGGCTTAGCGGGGGTGTCGAGGAGGGTACCGGCTGCGAGGTGGTTTCTGATTGGTCGGATGGCCCGGCTGCTATAGCGGTATATAATCCTTGAATGTGCAGCTCTGAGCCGCAGCTGGAGGTTTGCGCAGCACATGTACGGAAGAAAGCGGACAAAAAGCTTCGAGCGAGTCTGCGGAATGAGGCAGTGAGAGGCTGCAGGGGAAGCAAAGAAGACACACACTGGTTAATCTCTATTCGCTGGAAGGCTCTGGTAGCTGGAAGAGGACACAGAAAGCCTCATCGCCAGGAAATAAAGTGAGTAACCTTCATCTTGGGTTCATATAATAAAGAGGTGCGTGCGCATGCGGGAAATGGAGTGTGTGTTTCTGTGAGTGTTTGGTGAGGCAGGGGGTTACAGATGAGTCAGAGTGGCGTCATTAAGCTTCTTTAACAGGTTCAGTAGGCTGTGTGTGTGTGTGTGTGTGTGTGTGTGTGTGTGTGTGTGTGTGTGTGTGTGTGTGTGTGTGTGTGTGTGTGTGTGTGTGTGTGTGTGTGTGTGTGTGTGTGTGTGTGTGTGTGTGTGTGTGTGTGTGTGTGTGTGTGTGTGTGTGTGTGTGTGAGAGATCAGCTCAGTGTGTGCAGGTCTCTGCTCAAACTGACGCGATGTGAGTCATTCAGTTCACGGCCAGTGTGAGGGTCCAGGCTACACACACACACACACACAGTTACATATTCAGACAATCCTTGTTTATTCTTCAACTCGCTAAAAAAAAAGACTCCCATATGTCTCTAAACGTATAGAAATGGTTCAAAGATCGTTTATTACAGGTGGAAGCCCTGCACTGAAAATACACTTAAAGTAGATCCAACACAGTTAAACATGCATTATGCATTCAAACCAATCCATGCATTAATGTGTTTATCACTTTAAATGTGGCAGAAAGCAAACATGGAGCTCAGTTGACACTTTGTTTGCACCCTTGGCATGGTTTGATTGTCATGGTATGAATATCTGGAAGAACGATACGATGCTGTTACATAAGAGTTTGGTAACATTTTATTAAACAGATTACCGGCAAATTATTCATTATTCTTGTTCTTAAATCGGTTCCATATCTTTACTGGTGCAGGGACTGTGAAAGAGGGATGCACATGATGTGTCTGCATGAATAAACTGTCTTTTTTTTTTTTACTTTACATGTTTCTACGGAGGCCTGAATTTGCCATTTGACTTCACTTGATATCGACTTTCTTATCTCAAGATAACAATGCTGTTCCTGTGATATCGAGTTGATTTTAGACGTTTTCTCTGGAATTAGAAATTAGACTGAGGTTCTGTATTTTGATTTAAAGCTTGATACTCTCGTCTATTAAAAACGACCAATATTAAATCATTTTAAACACATGTTATCGAAAACATTTTGACAACCTCGCGCGACAAAGACTTTATGAAAGACGGGGAAGTTAAATCTATCTCCCGTGCGTGAATCCAAAAATTAGGGCTGCAAGCATAAACTAGTTAATGGTGATTAATGAGGGGCTAAAATAAATGCATTTTGACCCTTTGGGCGCACCGTAGATCCGCCTCCTCAGTGTCTCCCTGTAGTCGCAGTGATGGAAAAGAACGACATTGCTGCCTCAAATAATGGAGTTCCAAAGATGCAATTAATGGAGATTAATTATGGAAATCTAGCGATGACACTTGATAAAAAAAACAGTTTGACAGCCTTATCGGGAATAAAAACTAACTTTGTTCACCTGAGTTTAATGGTCATTTTCTTGGCTCCTGCTGTGTGTTTATGCAAGTGAGTTACATCTTTTGTACGTGTAGATTCAGGTACTTCAGCCGCCTTAAGAGAATGAAACAAGAGAAGGAGCTTTTATTTAAACTGGAATAAGGAAGCAGGAATTACAAACACTGTCATCGTACCTTGTGACATGAGTGAACAGAGCGGGGTCGTTTCCCTCCTCTAGTCGCTTTATTTAGAGATATTCTAACAGACATGAAGATCTGAAAAGTCTAAGATATTAAATAAGAAAATGTAAAGGTGTAAATGAGGCAGAAAAATGGAGAGTGAGAGTTCAAAACCTCAAACAGTTCAGTTTACAATCAAAGGGAAAAAAAGCGGCAAATCCTCGCTTGTGAACGTGTAACCTTTGTAGAAAAAGCGGTTCCTTATGTTTATTTGGAACAATCAGGCGTCCTCTCTGGATCTCTCGGCGGCCTCCACAGAGTCCAGCGTACCAGTAATTAAAATCTCATTACCCGTCTGGTCTTGGCAGATGGGCGGGGCGGCCTGCCCGAGGATGATTTCAGGGCGACGTCTGTGCAGGTGACATATGGTGCGTCTCAGAGAGTGTGTGTGTGCGTTACAGGCAGAGTCAGAGCGGCGTTATGTAACGGGAAAGACGACCAGCTGGAGCCACCTGCTTTTTGTTTTTACAGAGAGAAAAAAAGAGAAGTTGAAAGTGGAGAAATTCATCAGTAGAGATGTCGAAGAAGGCAGCGAGGGTTCGTTTTGATTTTGAAAGATGGGCGACTGTGAACAGCTTTTGTGCGTTTAAAGTCGTGTTTTACTTTGTGAACCTGGCTTTGAGGTAACAAGTGCAGAGTGCAGCACATGTGGTGATTTGTGAGAGCGAGTGACGAATTTAAAAACACACCTTGCATCAACATCAACATCATCATCGGAGGAGGAGGAGGAGGAGGAGGAGGAGGAGGAGGAGGAAGTGAACTCTGAGTGTTCGTGATTATTTTTAATGGTTGAGGTGTGCATCACAAAGAATGATTGTGCACGCCACCACACACAGGAACGTGTTGGCAGTCATGCATGCACACGTGCCGAGGACATGCTGTGTCATCGTTGGAGGCGCTGTTATAACGGCTGATCAGATGAATGAATGTTTGAACTCGTCGTCCTACACGTGGCGTTCATGTCTGTCCTCTCTCTCTCTCAGATATCCTTCTCCGTCCACCGTCATCTCAAATAAAGACGTAAACAAGCCCCAAAAATAATTCTTCAAAACAAACGAGTCATCCTCCACTTAACATTCAATTTAATCAAATTTAATTCAGACTGTTTTATGAATCCCTCGATGGGCCGCTGATTGGGAGCAGCGTTCACATAGAAGACAAACCAGACTGTTTATAACATCAACCTCATCTCAGTGATGTCACCCATTGGTTTTTTGAAGCTCAACGATGGCGATTGCAATGTTGGAAACAATGTCTCCAACTTTGGATCAATCAAGACGCATTTTGAAAAGAGTCCAGCCTCCTGACAAACTTCTGTTGCAGAAAAAAACTGAGCTGAATGTGCACGTTTTATCACCATTATTCTTTCCAATATCCGATATTTTTCACCACATTCTGGACGATATCGATGGATTTCCTTTATTTTCAAAAGTCTCATTCAAACTGGTGTTAACATGTTATTCATCTTTATTGTAAAGACTCACAGACAGACTCAAAAATTAAAGAATAAAGTTTTAAAAATGTAAACGTTCCCAGGGCAAAGTCAGAAAAAAAAATTAAGTTTGGGGTTTCCTGTAAAATGTCTCATTCATTTGTTGTCATGCTGTGATTGGCCGCCTGCTGAGAAGACGGTTGGTCTGTGAGCGACTTAAAAAACGTGATCTGAACGACCTTAGAGTTCATCTCGGGTGGAAACTGAAGTGGGCGATATTGTGATGAACATCTTGTTTTATTTGGAGTCATGCTACCTTTTATCATTATTATTCGATCACATTTCAGTCTTAAGATAATAATCAAAACACCTCGTCCAGTTTCCATGCTGGTTTTCAGTCACGAGTTGGACAGTGTGCAGGAGTGAGCACTCCATGTACAAAGACTGTGGTCCTTGAAGTGGGCGGCCCGGGGTTTGAAGCCGACCTGTGGCTCCTTTCCCAGCATGTCACTCCCCACACTTTCACACTTTCTCTGCTGGGGAATGTCTCTCTCTCTCTCTCTCTCTCTCTCTCTCTCTCTCTCTCTCTCTCTCTCTCTCTCTCTCTCTCTCTCTCTCTCTCTCTGTGTTTGTAGAAATTCATCTTCCACACCTTTCCACGAGAGAAAGGCAAATAAACAAATCAGATGCAAAAGAGCCAAAGGTATAAAAATACACTGAAATAAAACAGGTGTGTCTAAATAAGACTAAATGAATGAAGGGAGAAGACAAAGACTTTCATTGGCTGTCGGGCTTTGAGGCTTTTTACTGTAAGTCAGGCGTTGGTCAACTCCTGGCAGACAAACTCGACGTTTCTGCCAAAGAATGAAGTAAAACCAAATGATCCTGTCAAGCTGAGCCCTGAAGGAAATTGGGCTAGTGGGGCTGCACGAAGTCCTGGTGTGTGTGTGTGTGTGTGTGTACAGTGTGTGTACAGTGTGTGTACAGTGTGTGTGTGTGTGTGTGTGTACAGTGTGTATGCGCTCTACTCCCTTTGGCAGTGAAGCAGACTCTTATCTGGGCCCCGCGCCAACCTCTGCACTGCCCTTATGTAACCTCCTTTATCTTCCCGACAAGAATTTCGCGGCTTTCCTCTTTCTGCATTTTTTCCTCTCTCGCCCTCTCTCTCTCTCTCTCTCTCCCCGTCTCATTTTCTTTATCGCTGTCCACCTCTCTTTTCGCTCTTCACTGTAACTCTGTCTCTCCGTCTGCCTGTGTAAGCATGACTCTGCAGTTTGTTTAACTGCCGTCTCGCTTTGCAGCCACTCCCCCCCCGCTGCCGCCTGTCCCTCTGCGAGTGTGAGATCAGAACTGACATCATGGTCTCTATTATGTTTCACTGTTTCATGTCCGTCTGACACCCTCCTGCCAACGCCAGACGCCTCTTACACCGTGTTGCATTCAGGACACACACACACACACACACACACACACACACACACACACACACACACACACACAGTAACAAGAAGTAATCTAGTTAGCAGAATTAAAGACTGCGTTCTTGTAAAATCTTTGTGACAGTTTATGAATTACTCCAGACAGTGTTTTGTGTTTTTTCATGAAACTTGATCCAGACGTTGGTGTCACCTTTAGAGGGTCAGATTAAATGTTTTTACAGGATCCTGTTTCTCAGGCGGCTCTCTCATGTTTTTTTAAAGACCCGACACCTTTGTGTTGTATTCAGATTTACCTTTAGGAGAGGAGGCGCTCCGCTCCGTCCGTTTGTTTGTTTGTTTGTTTGTTTGCAGGCCCACTCCTCAGGCTTTGTGCATCATATGATCGGCTCACTGAACGTGTGTGTGTTGTTTGGCCGAGTTTATGCCTGTTATCATGTGACACATACATGATTTATTACTCGTATTTATTCTATGTGGATTAAAAGGGCTTTTCATAAGAAGTCTTTACAAATTTAGACTAAACCGAGAATCTAAACTTTTTTTGGCTTTCATGGCATGTAGAAGAAATATTGCAGCAACAAAACTCGTTTGAAAATCCTCCTGATGTGTTTCCAGTTGAAAGACATCTGATTCTACCACTGAGCCACAGCCGCCCCTTAATTATCAATCGTTATCAAAGCACTACATTGCTTTCTTAATTGCTGTGAATCAACTTAAGGTTAATTATTTTTCAATGCAAACTAAAACCCACCATTAACAGATTTTATAACAGGAGGTTGGGTCTTTGGGATTCGAACCCAAGACCTCTGCGACGAGTACTATTGCCTCTGTACATGGGCGCCCCTGACCTTTTGGTATTGGTAAAGTGACCCAGTTTTGAGATCTAGTTGTTTGGATTGGGGCGGCTGTGGTTCAGTGGTAGAGTCGGTTCGATCCCAAAGCAACCGGACTAACTTTCAGTTAAGTGTCTCGCTCAAGGACCTTTCTACATGGCGCCTCTAATGGTTTCTATTGGACGCATTTCTACATTTTAAGTGATTTATTAGATGCTATAAAAGTGATTTTCAGTACGGCTGCAACAATGCCTCACACTACAATTAGACATCAACACAAATATGGACAATTTAAATTGATTTGAACATTTTTTATATTTGCAATACTCTTTTTGACCAACAGAGGGAGCTCTCTGCTTTTTGTCCTCACTTGTTTGACGTCTTTAGCACCTTTTACAACCTTGTATTCAAAGAGTAGTACTTATTGTTATAAAGAAAATGGATGTTATACAAAATCATTGTCAAAGAATGAAAATTAATTATGAATAAATTATCTTCAATTTCACGTCTTCTTAAAAAACTAAAGAATCGTTAAAAGATCGTTTTGTGATATATACATCGTATCGGGGGTTGATAATCCAAACACTTAAGTCGTTAATTATCCAGATTTATAGACTCATTGATGGTGTTTTTTTTTTGTTTTCTGATATTTTAAAGCATGTCAGATCTCCTTTTTTGATCTCTGCTAGCTTGGACTCACTCCCTTGAGGTCACAAAACACACACACACACACACATTCACTTTGTGCCTTGTATTAACCGTCATATCTTGGTGTCTTTGTTTGCTCACGGCCATGTTGCTATGTTAAACCATGAGGTCAGACAGACAGAGGAAGTGTGTACGTGTCTTTGTGTGTGTGTGTGTGTGTTGTGTGTGTGTGTGTGTGTGTGTGTGTGTGTGTGTGTGTGTGTGTGTGTGTCAGAGGTCAGTGGAAATGTACTGACTCATGACGGTTTAAATGATTAACTGACTCCCCCTTCCTCTACTTTCCTCTCCTCTACATAATGATGATAACTTTACACATCTTGACACAACAACACACTCTAAAAACAATAAATCATACAGATAAAAGTTTGTGGCTTCTGTGTATTTGTTTTTTGATGAGTCACCGTCTTGTAGTGGAGGTTTAGTTGTAGCTGATTCGTGCACTTCAATTGTAACGACTTTAATTGGTGCTTATAAAGTGACTGTGCAGATCTGATTCACCCTTACTCCACTTTCTCTTCTGACAGCATGGTGGTGAAAACATCGACAGCAGTGAGGTGGCAGAATTATTGATAAAAGTTTTAATAATAATTGTGCCGGTATTTTGTTTTTCTCCTCAGTTAAAATGGATCTTCACGACAAAGAAATTCTCCCTGGAGAGACTCTACCTGTGGTCATCATCGGTAAGACGCAAACACACACACACATGCACACTCATGCATATTGTGCATTGTCATGATGATTATAAATCCTTATCATAAAGTTATCTTAAGTTATTATTTTTGCCGTTCAACTCTCGGCTGGTTTCCTAAAAAGACAACGTGTGGTTTCCATGAGTCACCGTGAGCAGACTAAAACACTTTCACTGCTCCTCACACAGCCTCTGAAGGTGTGCCGAGTCATTGTGAGGCCCTTAAACCTGCTGAGTCATGCTGCAGTCCCGTTGATTTTATAAATCCTTCTTCACATGTGCTGATGTATATTTGTAAAGCATGCTCATCGCGTTCTCTTTCTTACCTATTCCTTAATTCCTTATTTTAAGTCACCCCCTTTTGTGCAGGTGTAACCATAGCAACCACTCTATGTGGGCTCATACACAAGGCGACGAGATCATTACTGTATATGGGGTGGTTAGTGCAACTGGAAAACCACTCACATTGCAAACAACAAGCACACAGTCCTGTCAAAACTCACTCACTCACCTCCCCCCTCTCCCCCTCTCCCCCCCCCTCTGTTTCCAAGGTAACGGCCCTTCAGGGATCTGTCTGTCGTACCTGTTGTCGGGCTACACCCCCTACCTGTCACCTGAGGCAACACATCCCAACCCCCTGCTGAACAGCAAGCTGGGAGAGCAGCCTCACCTGTCACTGCTGGAGCAGGTAACACACACACACACGCACAGACACAAACACACATGCACACACACACACAGACACAAACACGCGCGCGCACACACACACAAACACACATGCACACACACACACAGACACAAACACGCGCGCAAACACACATGCACACACACGCACACACGCACACACACACAGACAAACACAAACGCACATGCACACACAAACGCACATGCACACACACACACACACACACTCAAACACAAACAAACATACAGACACACACACACACACTCAAACACAAACAAACACGCACACAAACAAACACACACACACACACACACACACACACACACACACACACACACACACACACTCAAACAAAAACAAACACGCAGACACACACACACTTAAATACACACACACACACAGGATGTTTCTGTGTTTTCAAGTCAGTGTCTAGAAGTGTCTGCTCTCTCTCCTTGAAGGATCTGGAGTACCTGTGCGAGGGATTAGAGGGCAGGTCGTCCAATCCCGTGGCGGTGCTTTTTGACTCGCTGCTGCTTCCCGACAGCGACTTCGGATTGGACCACACGTCTCCGCTGGACTGGCGATACGAGCCGGAGCGAGCCATCCCTCACCTGGTGCTGGGGAAGGGTCCACCCGGAGGAGCCTGGCATGTAAGAAACCAGCCAATGAATGATACTTTGATTGTTGAGATGCAGTAACGGTACAAGGAAGTCGCAGCTTGGTGTGTTTGCATAATAAAGTCATAAAACCTCCTGACACGCTTAAACCTCACAAACAACAGAGCGTTTGTTTTGGACCTTGAATATGCAGACGTTTTGATAATGTGTGCAAATAGGCTTTGTGTCTCCTTGTAACCTGCTTGTTTGCACACGAGGACAATGTGATGTACACATGACTCTACGAGGCGGACGTGACCGCAGCTCAATATTTGAATAAACAGAAGAGATTAATCCATTCGAAATCTCTGAAACGTTGCTCTCTGTAAATGCACATGACTGATAAATACAGCTGAGTGATTTGTGTGTGTTGTATTTCTCAGGCTATGGAGGGCTCGATGCTAACTCTGAGCCTGGCTAACTGGATGGAGCTTCCTGGACTTGGACTGAAGGACTGGATGAGAGAGAAACGCAGGTTTGTTATTGAAAAACATGAAAACTGAGTAGATATTATATTTGACACAGTAGGAGTTATTTAAAGGAAAAGTGTGCAACATTTTCCACATAAATAAATCATAAATCCAGTCTATCCTGTGTAAATGTGTCTCTGAGTCATGACTGTTTACAATGAGTGAGAAGCTTGAGTCCCGCTGGCTGTGTTGTTGTGAGATCCGTGTTTACATGGACCTCCCGGCTCCTCCCCTTGTGTATAAAAGCTGTTTTAGTCAAGAAGTAGAGAGAAGAAGAAGAACATACTCACTGATTATTTGGGTGTTAGTAAGAGTTTTTAGATCACGCTCATTCTGTGTCAATTTAAAAGTAATCTGAAGCTACAATCTAACTAAAGAGCGCTAACACTAGCATGCTAGCAACAATGCAGGACACAGGGGATTGCAGCTCGAGCCTAGGTCGATATTATCCACCCTTTGCGCTAAACTCCTTTGTGCAAATGCGAGTGGAGGGGGGTTGGAGGTGTGTCTCTGGAGGAGAGCGGAGGCTTCAGTATGGAGGAGGTGTGGCCTAACAGAAGTTTGTTTTGGTTTCATGCTGGTGACCAAGGGCGACATCTACTAGATCTAAAAGTTACACGTCTTCCTTTAATTACTGCATAAAGAAAAAGGAGACGCAGAGGAGGATGTGCGATCATGCTTTACTCTCCTCTCAGATTGTTTAATACGCCTTTAATACTTCCTATTCAGGACTTCTTAAAAATATTGAAATGTACAAAAACAATATCATGTTTACTCTACAAAATCTGTTCAATGATTTGTCAGCCCTGATAATGTCTCTAATATATCCTGCAATGTCATCATGTCTTTTTATGTATTATGTATTAAAAGTTAATTTGATGTTTATTTTGATAACAGAAATGTACGTAATGACCGTGCCACACCAGCAGAGATCGCCTCCTACTACCAACACTACGTTTCACAGATGTCCCTGGAGCAGAGCTTTGCCTGTGGAACCACGGTCACCTCGGTAACCAGGCAGCCAGGCAACCATGACGGGTCGCCGCCCTGCTGGAGGGTGACAGGCCTTCAGCGCAGAGAGGGGGAAGAGCTGGGAGGTAGGGTTAACACATACACTCCTTATAACATGATATGGCCTCTTTGCCAATGCGGAAGTGACTTAAATCTGCATTCTCTTCACCTCCCGTTAGACGGCTCCTCCGTGTCAGAGGAAGTGCCTTTCTCGCTGTTGGCCCACAATGTGGTGTTGGCGACGGGGACCCACGACATCCCGGCCAGGCTCGGCGTTGAGGGCGAGTCCCTGCCCTACGTCTGCCACTCGTTCTGGGAGCTGGAGGCGGCCATCTCTCGCGGGGAGCTCGACCAATCCTCAGACCCGGTGCTAGTTGTGGGGGCGGGGCTAACAGCAGCTGATGCAGTCTTGGCAGCACACCATCTCAACACGCCCGTCTACCACGCCTTCAGACGCTCGGTCAACGACCCCGGCCTCATCTTCAACCAGCTGCCTAAACTCCTCTACCCAGAGTACCACAAGGTGAGAGAGGCGTTTGATGACCTGATAGAAGACCAGGTCCCCGTTGTTTGGAGCTTGTTAAGAAATGTTAAGAATATCAGACAAATCTCATTAATGTTCTTCTTCTTCTTGATATCGTTGTTCAATTGAACTACACATAGCATTGATAAAAAGGCAAATATTGCCATTATAGCGTTGTTTAGCGGACTCTGTTGCTTCGCCCGCCACTTGAACGTTTTTTTTTTACGTCACGTCTCACCTCAGGAGACACACCCCCACCCCCCCTCCCATCTGACAGAGATAGTCTCCCACTGTGAGGAGCATATGTGAACAGCCAGGTCAGGAGAATATCCGGAGCAGTCCTCCTGAAATGATCTCCATATTTTCAGGAGTGCAGATGTGGAAAAAGTAGAACACTCAAACTAACCTCCCTTTCTGTTCTTTGGCCTCCAGGTTCACCAGATGATGACTCAGCAGCAGTACCAGCCGAGCACGCCACCTCAGAACCACGCCCAGAACCTTCATAACTCATCAACCCCTTCCTCACCTTCAACTTCCCCCGCCTCGTCCTCATCCCCTTCCTCTTACCCGGGTTATTTGAGCTTCCCGCGCTACAAAGTCGTAGCGCTCCGACCTGATAAGAAGTGTGTTCTGGAGTCAGATTCTGGCCATCGAACCGTGGTCCAAGTCTCCAAGGCATTGGTTCTGATTGGCGCCCACCCCAACCTTTCCTTTCTGGGTGACAATGGGCGTCCTCTTGGTATTTACCCAGAGGAAACGATCACATGCCGGAGAAACCCAATTGAGGTTGACCCGTTCACAAACAGCGTGGTGGCAGCAGACGGACCAGGCATGTACGCAATGGGGCCATTGGTTGGCGAGAACTTTGTCAGGTTCCTGAAAGGAGGGGCGCTGGCTATCGCTAGCGACCTCACCAAGAGACAAAGGGAGAGACAAGAGAGAGAGGATCGGGATTTGACCACAGAGAGGTTGATGGACAGATGGTTGGACAGACAAGTCACCACACATACAGAATCAGAGGTTTGTGTTCTGGACTCATAGCAGGTCGTCTGAAATACAAGTGTTGAATAGACTGAAGCAACGCGACCTTACTGATCGGATCCAAGCTAACGGGTCGAGACAGAACACGAACTGATGCAAACAAAAGAGACCCAGGTCATGTTTCCAGAAATCCCAGAGTAGGAAAATAAAATGCGCTGCTAAGTTGTTTAATGAGTGAAACAGGCAACAAACGACGACTGGACTTGCACTGGTTTGGAAGGATCTGATAACTTGCAAGAGCTGCTGTAGACCGATTGTCGCGCTGCTCAAATCCTAAAGACTTACAGGTCCTTCAAATAAATGTACATTTGTGGGATTTCAATACACTGAAGTTAAAGACACTATGGAGAAACAATTTAGTGTGTTTGGGCCGGCCACATCAAAATTAAGTGTCGACATTGAATGATACCGATATCCACATCAGTTATTTCAGAACTTGAAACTATCCATAAATTGGGCAGAATGTGTGTTTAACTTGAACATGTAATGTAGAACTTTCAATGCCAGTCTCTTAAATAACTATTCACGTGAGATTTACTGAAGAGAAAAATGCAGTAAAAAAACAAAAAAAACAAAAAAAACAAAAAAAAAACAGTGCCCTCTGGTGGTCAAACAATGCAACTACAATAATCTTTCACTTGACCGTAAACATATTTTTCATTCTGCAAAGCAATCGCTCATTAGTGATACAAATGTTCATCATCAAATGTTCATTTTCGCTGTTACCGTGCTGGTTTCTTGGAGCCAGAAATGACCATATTTGGACGAAAGGTTGGAGCTTGGTGGGAGAAAGTAGTTAGCAAACGTCGCGTTCTTAGCGTTTGCTAGTATTAGCTTGGTAGCTAAGTGAGTTTGTAATTCAAGTTAGCAGTGATATTATCAAGACATTTTTGGGTCGCTATGGTTGCGCCTAGTCAGTCAAAGGGTAACCACGCTCTTGACCCTACCCAGGAGTCTCGTCTGTTTTACTCTAAATGGTAAAATTATCACAAACCATAAACTCTTTACCGTGGTAATTAATCCGATATGATTTTTCACCCAGACTCCCCCTACTGGCCATTTGAAAGAATGCAGCTTTTCAGAACTCCTTCATTGACTTCCCTTTGCAGATTATGAAGACGCTTCTACTTCTCGTATATACAGTCTATGATGCCATTGTTACACTAATATTTACTGATGATACTGGTTTCACCTAAATTAGGATGGACAGCTAGCAAGTTAAAGATTTATTTAAAAAACACTGTCGAGAGTATTTTAAAATTAATCACACACACATACACAATCAACCAGCTGAACTGAAGCTCGCTTTGTATTATTTACATCCTAAAGTAAACAATAATAAACTGTAAATAAATATGACCTGATTACATAACTATTTATTATGGATGAGGAACAAAATAATCAGAAGAGGATGAGAAATTGATCCTTGGTAAAGCGAGTACTTCTGGTTTGGTTTTTCTATCCCTCAGAGTGCCGAGGTTACGGCAATAACTTCCTGCTTTTAGCTCTTAATAATCTGCCAAAAGGTCACACATTGCCTCAGTCTCACTTGATACACGATGGACTTCATGATCAGGTTTCTGTAGATCGATCTTGATTCTACTGTCTCAGTTAAACTGCAACACTACTCACTTCCTGCTCGTGTTTCAAGGGAATTCTTGTCCCTGTGTTCTCTGTTTGCGTTTGTACATACCGTGGTTTGCTTCCGTGTGAATCTAAGGTGCTTTATCTTTTAATGTAGAGATGATTTTTTTTTTTTTTTTTTTTTTTTTAGTCATGTAACTGGCAACTGTACCTACCTTCAATCTGTAAATGTTTGATCACAACATGATGGTTTTATACTTAACAGGAAAGAAGCAGAGAGACATATATTTTTTCTATAATTCCTCTGATTAAACGTGTTGGATTAGAAGGCTTTGTAATGTATGAAGTTGGCAACATGAACTTTTGATGGCATCTCAATGAACCAGTGGCGGTGAGCTCCTCTTCTGTTAATGAGTCAGGAGAACAAGGAAAGATCTCTTTAGTTTTGGATTATGATGAGAAGTCACACAAGATTTATTCTGCAGTTAAATTCAGTTAAATTTTACAGTTTGTCTCCGTTTAATCTCCATGCATGATTATAAAGTTTTGTAGTCGAGACCAGACAAACAGAGACCGAGACATGACCGAGACCAGAGTCCTCCAAGGCCGAGTCAAGACCAAGTCATGTAGGGATCTAGAAGTAGTCAAGACCAAGAGTTACCCGAGACCAGAGTCCTCCTAGACTGAGTCAAGGCTGAGACATTTAGGGATCTAGAAAGAGTCTAGACCAAGAGTTACCTGAGATCAGAGTGCTCAGAGGCCGAGACATGTAGGGATGGAGACCGAGACCAAGACATGCCTGAGACCAGAGTCCTCTAAGGCCGAGAGGGGGGGTAACTGGGGGAAACTACAAATTGAAATTATTGGTTCTTTTAGAAAGTTTTCCTTCTAACCATAGTTATGACTTGGAAAAATATCTGGAGTCCACCCAGTCTGAGACCGAGACAAGACCGATAAAGAGTGCTTTAGACTCCTAGAAAAGACTGAGACCTTTAAAAAGTGGTATCGAGACCGGTCTGGAGTACTACAACTATTTATATGATCATGAACCTGCGGTGAGATATGACAAGCTGTGGAATATTCTGCTTTTATTCGACCAAAATCTGTTTTGGCTTTCAAGTCAAGAAATAAATAAAAACCAACATCACACACTTTAAAAAAAACAACCTTTATTAAGCCTTTATTTTTTATCTGATTTTAAAAAACATCACAATCGGCCTGAATGCATGTAATTAAGAAAAGCTGTGACATAAAGAGAGCCAGCGGTGCCTTTAATCTCTTCACTCATGGACGTGTTCATTTTGTATTTGTTCACTGCAGACAGAAAACGTTTCAATGTCTTCTTATTCTGTAAAAACAATCATGTGCACTCTTTGTTTGACCCTCACTATCTTTGTGTCACCGGGTTTGAATTATAAATATGAACATCTGTTCCATCTGTATTTACTGTCAAACCTCTGTTTTTCCACGTTTGTTCATGGGTTTCTATTAAAAGACGATTTTCCAGCAAACACTTCTCGTGATGTTGTTCTCACTTTGACTTCACAAAACTCTGCCGACCCCACACATCCTGTACAGTAAAATGAATTTAGTCATTTTGGTGTTTATTATTGTGGACAGAGGAGGAGAGGCTGCGATGGCCTTTCTGTATATGCTTCCAAACACACACCTGAATCCAATTACCTGGAGCCATGGCTTTATGCACAGCATAAGTCAAGACTCCACCTAGTGTTCAGTGTCAGAATTACACTCATACAAATTTGCAGTGTTGTGTTGGGTTTCTTACAAGGATCAATAAAACAAGCATTTTGGCTTCTACGTTTCTTGTTTGGGCATTGGCTACGGCCTGCAGCAGCCTGTGATCAATATATTTTAATGTACAATATATTTTTTATTGATCGATAAATAGAAATTTCAGGCGACCCCATTTGAATTCCATGGGACCCCAAGGTTGTGAAAGTGCGTTATATCTGTAAAACATGTCTTTACCTGTACATAAGTATCTTCATGAATCTTTTCAAAAGTCTAATCTTTAAACTTTTTATATTTTCCTATTAGAGATTTTCAGGATTTGCACTGTATTGACCATTATCATTATTTTTATACATGCACCCTGTGTTTATATGTATGCTTGTGCTGCCATTTCATACGACTATAAAACATTCTCCCTTGGGCGCCTGTAGGCTAGTGGTTAGTGAACGCACCACATGTACGGAGGCTGTAGACCCCTATTTCTGAATCTATCCTATCTCCACAATAAAAGGAATATAAAGCCCTAAAAATAAACCCTTAAGAAAAAAGTTCTCCCAATTCTTCATGTTTTATCTGATCAAATGATTTCATCATAAAAGGCATCAAAGGAACCACTTTTTCTTCAAATCATACATTTGGTAAGTTATGACATCTTCCTTTAGGTTTAAATATACGGTCTAGGTCAGTGATTCTCAACCCGCGGCTCTCGAGCCACATTTGGGACTAGTTGTGTAGTTTTTGGTCTATGTGGCTTTTAAGTCTAACAAGGCTGAGAACCACTCGTCTATGTAAATGGACTTGAGCTTGTATATTTCTTTTCTAGTCTTCTACTCAAAGCACTTTTACACCTCAGGTCACACCTACACATTCACACACTGATGGTAGAGGCAGATGAAGGAAACATCTGACATGTGGCTGCAGGAGCTGGGGATCGAACCCCTGACATTCTGGTTGAGAGACGACCGACCATTTTTAGAGTTCTCTGCGGACTGTATTTGAAGTTTGTTGTTTATTACTGATTATTTAGGGCTCCCTCTAATACCACAGAGTATTTATGAGAGGCTGATAAGTGTAAACATTATCAACCATGTACCTTCCATTATCCTGAAAAACAACTTGATCGTCTTGATTTCCATCACAGAGCACTGGAAATATCTCCAGTGGGAGTGTGTTCCCAGTGCATATGAGTGGATACAGCTTCTCAGTGAAAGTGTGTGAGAAGGTGTGTAAGTGTGTGTTAGTGTTAGGATCAGAGAACGACAGCTTTCCTCTGTCAAAGTCCAGATGAACTCTGACCCTCTGGAGCTTCCTCACGGACAGGTGGGTGTGCGGGCCGGGCAGAGAGCAGGCTGTGTATTCACCTTTAAAGAGCCTCATTCCCAACAGTCCACAGAGTGAGTCTGAGTCCCCCTTCCTTTTAATGGACTCTGCTGCCACACCCAGGACCCAGTGAGTATTATCTCCAACTTCAATGTCCCAGCTGTGACATCCTGAGTCAAACCCCTCAGAGCCGAGGACGATGCGATAACAGTCAAACCTCTCTGGATTATCTGGAAGCTTCTGTCTCTCTCCATGACTCACTCTGGTCAGATCTTCAGACAGGACGAGTTCTGGATGAGCCGAGTTTGGATCCAGAACCACAGGAGTGTAGCGGACCATCTCCTTCATCTTGTTCCAGATGTTGTGGGTCAGGTTGCCCAGGTGTTTGGCCTCGTCGATCAGAGCTCCTGAGACCTCATGTGGATCCTCCAGCAGGGAGCGGTCCTGGACTCTGTTCACTGCAGCCTTGTAGTTCTGCAGGAATGAGACGTCATCAGCTCTCAGCTCGTCCTCCGTGACTCTGATTGTGTCTGACAGAGCTGCTATCTCTCTGTTCAGAGCCTCAATCGTCTCCTTAACTCGCTGTCTCTTCCACTCCTCCTCTGCCTTCAGAGAAAACATCCTGAATTCCTCTTCCTCTTGTAGGAACTGGTGAAGCTTCTTAAACTGCTCCTTGATCTGCCTCTCTGTGTTTCTGGCCTGGACTTTTAAGTGTTCTGCTGTTTGATCACAGTGTAATTGAACTCGCTCAAAGCCCTTCAGCTTCTCCTGTAGAGGCTTCAGATACTTCTGCAGCTCCTCTCTGCGATGCTTGGCAGCTTCGTCGATGGGGATAAACCTCTTGTTGTTTTGTATGTTTTTGTCCCTGCTGACGACACACACAGGCAGCTGATGGTCCAGACAGAAGAGCTTCTCAGAGTTCAGACAGACGTCCTCAGACTCCGCTGAAGCTCTCTGATTTCTCTCTAGTAAGAAAGCCTCACACAGGTTCTTCAACACCAAACTAACCTGTGGTTTTATCTTCTTTGGGGACCGCTTCTTACAGATCGGACACTCTTTTACCTGTTTTGTCTCCCACCAGTTCTTCAGGCAGTCTTTACAGAAGCTGTGGCTGCACGAGACAACGACAGGATCTCTGAAGATGTCCTGGCAGATCGAGCAGCAGAGATCCTCCTCGAACAGGGACGCCATTTTCTGTCCCAGTGAAACTATAAATACACCGTGATGAAAAAGCACAAAAGTTAATCAGTCACAGAGTCCCTTCCTCTTGCAGAGAAAACTGACAGAAGTTTACTTTCACTTTTGAGTCATTTTGTTTTTGAAAAAATAAAAACACAGCTCAAATTCAGTGTGTTGGGGAGGAGCAGGTTGAAGGCTCTCTGTCCTCCTTTAGTAGAAGTTTGAGCTTAGATGCTGTGAATCTCATGTCTGCTTCCTGATTCTGTCTCTAAACTGACTAACTGTATTTCTCACTTCCGGATTTATGGCTCATGTGAGTCAGCTGAGAGGTGGAGCCGTGATAGACCATTTTAGTAAACTTCTCTATTGCTTTGTTATTTGATACGTAAGAGCAGGGGTGCCCAAAAAGTCGATCGCGAGATGTTTAGTCAATATAAAATACAATTGTAAAATAGAAACGTGATTTCAATTTCATCTCATTGCAGTGTTTCCCACACAGAGACGATACCTGGGTGGGGAGCCCAAGTATACTTCCGACCTGTTTGTATTTAATTTTTCATTTATTCATGAAATTGCTGCGTGCATGAGAGCGAGCGAGCGGGAGAGAGAGAGCGCGCGCAAGAGAGAGTGCAGGCACGCGCAAGGACGTGCAGGTAAAACCGGGGCCGGTAAATGTTTACCAAAAAGTCATACAAACTATGCTATGAGTATTAAGCGCATTTGATGTAGCTGCAGCTACTTTTCTCTGCTCCTCTCTGCTGTCATGACTGTGAGCACGCTGAGACACACCAACATACAGCGCAAACGCGCACACACACACACAAACACACACACTTGCACTGGAGCGCCAGCCACCACGCGAACCTTTTGACTTTTGACTTTTAGTGCTACAGCACACAGTTGATCCGTGATCCGCACGGACCGAGGCGGGAACATCCGGTCAAACGGTGTCTGCAGCTAATTTAACAAAAGCATCATCATCTCACAGCAGCCTGCTGTAGTCTGTGAACATCTCCACACAGATTAAAGTTGTTTGTTGTAAACTAAATTAAGAAACGTAATATTAAAATGTACCCTATAATAATTATTTTTTACGACTCACAGAACTGTCATTTATTATATCTGAAATTATTTTCTGTTTGTTGTGTGCAAATTAAATGCGTTTGTTGGTTGTCGGTAAAGGCTATGGCTCACGATGTGGACTGGTAGATCTCGGCAGACTGGCAACTTTAAAAGTAGATCTTGATTCAAAAAAGTTTGGGTAACCCTGCTCAAGAGTTTAAAAAATGTTTTAAGGAGGAAAATTGGTTGAAAATACAAGAGAAAGGACACTTTTTCTATCACTGGGAGCATGGGAGCAGGCTTGAGTTTCTTTTAGCCTTTTAAAGGGATACTTCACCCGTTGAAACATGAATTTTTATTTACATTGGGTCATGTATATATATATATATATAAAATTTATTTGAATATAAATTTTGAAGTTGGTGCCTTCTGATGACTTTCAGACAAACGCGACTGAAAGTGTCCTAACAAATGTCTCTTTGTTCCGTTTTTGTATAATCATTATGTCAAAATTACTTTGATTTGTTTTAATGAAATCTAAACAAATAGGCTTTCTTTAGGACACGTAACGTACGACAACCAGACTCAGTCGGCTGACAGTCACCAGTTAACATGGTAACTCTTTTAACCGTAACACCAGCACGGACTTTGCCGTTTCTAGCGATAAATAGTTTCCCGTATGTTGTTAAAGTATCGCAAGTGCCCCAAACTCAAAGTTTATCTTAATATCTTGGTTGTGCTGTGGTTGTCAGGTGATGTAAACATGTGTCGTTTACAGGAGATGTTAAATTAAAAGCCCATGCTGCAGTTCTACACTGTTTTCAACGGTGGCTGTTACTTTCCTGAGCGTTTTTTTGCCCTCCGCGCTGATGACGTCACTGAAAGCTATGAATTCCCTATATTGCTGCATTCAGGTGCTGCTCGGGTGGTCCAAGTTTCTGAGTTGGGAAGTCGTTCTTCCGACTTTAATGTGTTCATGTGAGTCCAGCTCGAAAGTGGGAATGTTGTAACAACAGCAAAAAAGCAGCGTTGATGCTACCAAGAAGAAGAACCCCGGGGCCCCATATTCCCGCAGTGCCCGCCTCATGATCCCCTGATTGATACGGTCAAAAGCCAAATCCATAAACACATGTAGACTGGATGAGCAAATTCCCATGCTCCCCCATGCTGAGGTGAACCTCTCGTTCACCAGGGAAAA